CTCCACTGATGGGATAGGACCTCCCGTCCGAGCAGAACTTGAAAAATTTGACCGTTGTGGAGAAGTTAGAATATTCTGTTGGGCTGATGGGCTGGGCTCTGTGTGCTCACTCCGCTGCACTTACCTCAGCTCGGCAGCTAGCCGCGGCATATGGGAAACTGCAGCTCGATCACGGGGTTTGCGAGGGGGTGATCGAGTTACTGAAAGTCAACGGAGAAGAGAACAAACTGCTGAAGGAGAGGGTCACCTACCTAACAGGCGAGGTTGAGGTGTTGAAGAGAGAGGAGGCCCGTCTCCTCGATCAGATCGAGTGGTTCAGGGGGTCCGAGCTGAGGGCTAGGGATGAATTGAGCAAACTGCAGGAACTATGGAGTCAGGCAGACAAGAGTAGGAAGACCGCAGAAGCCGAAGCTGAGGAGAGAGGACTTCAAAAGGGCCGGGCCGACGGACGAGCATATTCTATTGATGAGTACAAGAAAACCGAGGAGTATGATAAGGACCTGGATTTCAATGTCGCGCTTACTCTGAACTGGGTGATCTACGGTCTGGAAAGCGGCGCTCGGACACTGGAAGATATAAAGGGGATCTGTGCCCTGAAATGTGACCGACTCAACGTTCCCCCGGCCCTGAGGACGGGCGTGCTGCCTCCTAACGAAGACGAGTTGACCTTTGACGGGAAGAATGGTATCCCCGCGTTGTCCATGTCCGTTCTTGATCTTCAGGCGGAGAGTCCGTCCCCGCTCAAGCATGTGCCGTTTGAGGTATCCGATGAGAACGAAGAATAGGTGTCTGAGAGCCCGGACTTCGACAGGCCTGGACCGAGCGGAGTGAAGGGCGCAGGTGGCGCTGCTTGAATGGCTCCGAGTTTTTGAACGTTCATTTTTCCTGCTTTTTTAAAGACCATGAATGTAATTTTTCAGGGTGGTTCATCCCCGCAACCTTCGAACTTTTCTTGCCAGGATGCTTTTGTTCTTATAGATTGTTATTACATTTATGTTTGGTTTGTCTTTTCATGATTTGGATGTGTCTTTGTTACCTCTCGGTGGGTCCCTGTTTTGGCCGATTATTTTTGTGTCCGGATAATTTTTGTTTCTATAATTTCACCGTAGAACCTCGGTGTTCAGGCATGAGTTCCTTTTTCAAACTTCTGTGATTTCGCCGAACAACTTTGGTGTTCGGGTATGAGTTTATTTTTCGAACTTCTACGATTTTGCCGAACAACTTTGGTGTTCGGGTATGAGTTCATTTTTTGAACTTCTACGATTTCGCCGAACAACTTCGGTGTTCGGGTTTGAGTCCTTTTTGGGACTTCTACGACTTCGCCGAACAGCTTTGGTGTTCAGGTATGAGTTCATTTTTTCGAACTTCTACGATTTCGCCGAACAGCTTTGGTGTTCGGGTACGAGTCCACTTTTTAGGACTTCTACGATTTCGTCGAACAGCTTTGGTGTTCGGGTATGAGTCCACTTTTTAGGACTTCTATGATTTCGCCGAACAACTTCGGTGTTCAGGTTTGGTTCCATTTTTTGGACTCCTACGATTTTTGTTCTACAAGCGTCGTCAAAGGTTTCACGTTTTACAAAAACCACCTTTACACAAAACGCCATTATCCGCTACATATAGTTATCTTGAGCGCCTAGGTTTGCGCAGTTTCAAAAGACGGTTTTGGCTCCTTCTCACTCCGGGGGAATTTATTGATAGAACTTCTTAAGGTAGATGGCGTTCCACGGGTATTCCAACGGAGTCCCATCGAGATGCGCCAATCGGTATGCCCCATTCGGGATTACCCCAACGATTCGATAGGGGCCTTCCCACTTCGTCTTCAGAGGCCCCGGGTCTGGTCCCATACTGCGCTTTAACACCAGCTCGCCCAGTTGATAAGTTCGCGGCCTCACTTTTGAGTTGAAGTATCTTTCGCTTTTCCGTTTATAAGCGGCGTTCTTCAGCTCGGCCTTCCGTCGGGTCTCGTCAATGAGGTCCAGATCGGTCCTCAACATCTCCATGTTTTCTTTTTCTTGGAATGTTTTAACCCGGTACGTCGGGAATTCAGTCTCCACCGGCACCATGGCCTCCAACCCGTAAACTAGACAGAACGGTGTTTCTCCTGTCGAAGACCTCTGGGTCGTGCGGTATGCCCATAACACGGCGGGCAGTTCGTCTGGCCAACATCCCTTAGCTTCCTCCAACTTCATCTTGAGCCCATGCTTGATGATCTTATTGACCGCCTCTACTTGCCCGTTGGACTGCGGATGGTATGGGGTTGAAAAGAAGTGTTTTATTCCCAACTCCTCACAAAACGATGCCAATTTCTTCCTTCGAACTGTCTTCCGTTGTCAGTTAGGATAGAGTTCGAGACTCTGAATCTGCACACGATTGACTTCCAAATGAAGTCGATCACCTTCGGTTTGCTGATCGACGACAATGGTTCGGCCTCGGCCTACTTGGTAAAATAGTCAACAGCCACTATAGCGAACTTAACCCTTCCCCTGCCGGTGGGGAGGGGGCCGATTAGGTCTATTCCCCACTTGGCGAATGGCCATGGTCCGAAAACCGACGTCAAGGGCCGGGCTGCTTGTTTAAGGTTCGGGGCGAACACTTGGCACTTTTCACATTTCCTTACCAGATTGGCCGCGTCTTTCTTGATCGAGGGCCAGTAGTATCCCTGCCTTAAGACCTTATGAGCCAAAGCCTGTCCTCCCGAATGGCTTCCACATACTCTTTCGTGGATTTCGCGAAGTACCTTCATGGACTCTTCTTCGGTTAAACATCTGAGAAGGGGCTGGGAGAATCCCCTCTTATAAAGTATTCTGTCGACCAGAGTGAAACGCGCGGCCCTTATCCTTAAAACCCTTGCTTCTTTGGGATCAGTTGGTACCGTTCCCTTTTCGAGGTAAGCTTTGATCTGTTCTATCCAACTTTCTGCTTGCGAGACCACGAATAACGTTGTGTTCGCCACCCCACGGGCCCCGACGGACGGGCACTCTTGTTGTTCGATCTGGATGTATTCCGAGCTGTCAGCCACGGTGCTAGAAGCTAAACGAGCTAGGGCGTCGGCCTGCGCGTTTTCTCCTTTTGGGATATGTTCGATACTGCCCTGGAGCTCGGTTAACCTTTCTCTAGCGAGGGTCGCGTAGGGAATTAGGTGAGCTTTCTTCGTCTCGAATTCGTTGGTCACTTGCTTGACCAGAAGTTGGGAGTCCGAGAATATCCTTGGTTTCTTCAGGCCCATAGACTTGGCTAGTGACAATCCGGCTAGTAAGGCTTCGTACTTGGCCTCGTTGTTGGTGGCTGCAAACAGGAACCGAATAGAGTGGTAGTAAAGCTTTCCGCCTGGACTTACGAGAACCACTCCACCCCTTCTCCACTCCACCCCCAGCTCGTCTTGTGTTGGACGAACCATCAACATACAGTGCCCAAGCTTGCAGCTCGGCTTCAGTTTCTAATGGGGAACTAAATTCTGCGATGAAGTCGACCAAAATATGTCCTTTGACGGCAGTCCGCGGTTTGTAAACGATGTCGAATTACCCCAGTTCAATCGCCCATTTCATCATTCATCTGGATGTGTCTGGTCGGTGCAAGACCTGCCTTAGTGGGAACGTAGTCAAAACGACGACTGTGTGCTCCAGAAAGTAGGAGCGTAGCTTCTGGGCTGCGGTCACCAACGCGTAGGATAACTTTTCCATGGGGGTATACCTGAGTTCGGCGTCGTGGAGAGCCTTACTCACATAGTAAATAGGGGACTGCCTTCCGTCTTTTTCCCTTGTCAAGGTGGCGCTTACTGCCGACTCGGACACTCTTAAGTAAAGGTAAATAACCTCTCCGGGTTCGGGTTTCTAAAGGACCGGAGGGTTTACCAATGCTGCTTTTATGGCTTCAAACGCCTGTTGGCACTTCGGCGTTCACTCGAAATTTTTTGTCTTTCTAATGGCCTCGAAGAAAGGTTTGCACCGATCAGTTAGTTTTGAAACAAAACGACTAAGCGTCGTTAGACGTCCCGTGAGGCTCTGTACGCCTTTCACCGTCTTCGGTGGACTCAACTCGAGGACGGCTTTTACCTTGTTGGGGTTAGCTTCGATCCCCCGCTGGCTCACTATGTATCTGAGGAACTTTCCCAATTTTACCCCGAACGTGCACTTCTTCGAATTTAGCTTCATCGAGTAGTCCCTTAGTACGTCGAACATTTGGCCGAGATGGGTGACATGATCCTCTTCGGACACTGACTTTACCATCATGTCGTTGACGTATACTTCCATCATTTGGCCGATCAGGTCGGAGAACATCTTGTTCACAAGCCTCTGATATCTCGCGCCCGTATTCTTTAACCCGAAGGGCATCATTCGATAACAGTATAGTCCTCGCGCCGAGTAAAACGAGGTGTGTTCTTCGTCCGCCGGGTTCATCGAGATCTGATTGTACCCCGAGAAAGCGTCCATAAAACTCATCAATTCGTGACCGGACGTGGCGTCAACCATGCGGTCTATGTGCGGCAACGGGTAGCTATCTTTAGGGCTGGCTCGGTTTAGGTCGGAGAAATCGATGCAGACCCGCCATGATCCGTTTGCTTTCTTTACCAGGACGGGGTTTGACACCTAGATGGGATATCTGACTTCGCGGATGAGCTGATTTTCCGCCAACTTTGTTACTTCTTCTTCTAATGCTTGTTGTCGGTCCGGACCCATCTTTCATCTTTTTTGTATGACCGGCTTGACAGTTTTGTCCAAGTTGAGATTGTGGCACGCCTTTGCCGGGTCGATCCCCACCATGTCCTCCTGCGCCCATGCGAATACATCCAAGTTCGCCCTGAGGAATTGGATCAGTTTGGTTCTGACACTCTCGTTCAAGTTAGTACCGATCCTTATGGGCTTCTGACAAATAGGTTCGTCTGCATATATGACCTCAACCTCCTCCCCGGGTTCGGGCCTGCTGCCGGGCCTCCTTTCTTTGAACTGTTTCCGCAGGTCAAACTCGTCTTCGTCCCTCATTGGTTCCTTGCCCGGCCTTCATCCACGATCCCGGTCGAGCTCGTCCTCATCCATGTGAGTGTCTTCTTGGCCGAGCTTTGGTGATCCGTCGGTTTCGCTAGTCGCGTGAATTTCTAAGGAAGGGGCCGCCAATATACATTTGCGGGATTCTCTTTGATCGCCGTAGTGGATTCCGGGCCCATCAGAAGTGGCGAACTTGATAGAGTAATGATATATTGAGACCGCCGCTCGGAGTTTGTATAGTGTTGTCCTTCTGAGGATCGCGTTATACTCGTTTTCGTGTTTGACAACCTTGAAGGTTTCCATGATTGTTCTGCCCGTCGGTCCATCTCCTCCTATTTGGACCGGTAAAGTGATTTCTCCCTCAGGAATAGTTGTTCTGCCGTCGAAACCGGTTATTCGGTCGTTACACGGGCGCAACTCTTTTATGTCTATTCCCATTTTTAAGAACGCCTTTAGGTACAAGACGCTTGCGTAGGCCCCAGTGTCGACTAAAATGCGGTGCACGGGGATGAGGAAGATCGGCGTCGTGATGACTAACGCGTCCGAATGCAGATTATCAAAGGGTGATGCGTCTTCGTCCGAGAAAATGACCGGATTCGTTTGGTAAAAAGCCGCCGGTCGAACTTTCGTCCTATGTATAGAGTGTCCGGTGCTGTAGGCCCTTCTCGCGTACGCATTGGCTTGTCTACGCGACGCGGCGAGTCCTTTCCGGCTGGTATTGACTAGCCCTGGGGTCCTCTGGTCACTCGCGACTTCGCGAACCGGTGAGATCGACTCGCGCTTTCATCTTCGGGACGAGCTCGCCTTGTCCCTGCAGACTTGGCTCAAAGTCAAGATTTCCCGCGGTGGGTCTCTTATTCTTTTTAGGTTCCTTTCTGGTTCGCGCTCATCTTCGCTGCCCGGGTACTCCTCGATGTGAGCCATTTTCTTGTCTTCCTTGTGCCTCGTGAACCTCTTCACTTGTGGGTTCTCGATGAGTTTGAGCAGCTCTGTCTGCAGGTTGCGACACTGATCGGTGTTGTGTCCGTGGGACTTGTGGTAAGAGCAATACCGCGATTTATCCAGTTGTTCCTCGTTCGCCCTCATGGGCCTTGCTTCGGGGATGATGCCCTTATTTTTGAGTTCTTCGTAGACGGTGGCCGCCCCTACCGAATACAACCCCTGGTAATTCGCCCTCACTTCCTGTTGCCACTGCTTCCGAAGGGCTCGGACTTGTGGATTGCGTGTGTCTTTCGCGTTTTGTCGCCCCGACTTTCCTTTGTCCTTTGTGCCAGGAATTCCCGTTCCGAACAAAGGGATCGCCATGGTTTCTTCCGCTACCACGTGTTGCTGCGCGCGGGACAAGAACTCTTGGTAGGTTGCGGGCTTATTTTGACACAGTGACCAGCGGAACAATGAGTTCGGTTTTAACCCCTAATATGCAGACACTAACAGAGTCTCCTGGTGGCAAGGTTCCATGTTCTGCACCCTTTCATTGAACCGTGCAATGTAATCTTTTAGGCTTTCCTCGGCCCCCTGTACGATGTGCGTGATCGAATCCTTGGGTATCATGCACATTTGCGACCCGATGAAGTGGGCCCTAAAGGCCGATCTCAGCTGTTGCCCCGTCTGAACCGAATGTGGGAGAAGCGAGTGGTACCACATCTGTGCCCGCGGCCCCAGCGTGAGCGAAAACATGCGGCACTGGAGCGCATCTTTCGCCTCATGTAAATCCATCCACGAGGTGTATAACCCCAAGTGGGCATCCGGATCGGAACTTCTGTCGTATAAGGCGATCTGGAGAACTTTGACCTTATCGGGGAGCGGATCTCCCAAGATGTCCAACGACAAGGGGGAGGCAGTGTCCTGGGGCACTGTATTCCTAGGCACCCCTAACCCGCCGGGAGGCGGTTCCGAGGACTTCTGTCTGCATTCAAGTTCGGCTACCCTTCGCTTAAGGGCGGTTATCTCCTCGGTTTTCCTTGTCACGGTTAGACTTCTTAATAGCTTCTCTCGCAAGTCGGGCATTGTCTTTTTCTTTCCTGTCCGATATGAGGTCGAGTCGTCCGATGACGAGCGAGCGTCGCTTTCAGGGTCGCAACTGCCAGTTCTTTCTTCCTCGCTGGTATCGGTTGGTTCGGTCGGCAAGGTGTACGTCGGATCTGACGATTCTCTGGTGGAGTATGATGTGACTGAACCTCTCCGAGCATGCTGTGCGGCGTTCAGGTCCCTCTTTGTCGGCGTCACCAGCAGGTTTGAAGACGACGACAGGGTTTGCGTCAGGAGGCTTGAGAATCCTTTCACAAAATTTGGGTCTTGCATGAGTACCGTAAGATCGATGGACGGGTTGGTTGGAGGTTGTTGGCCGGTTCCTGGATCGTCAGGCTCGTTGGTTTTACTAGACGATGACATCCTTGGCCTTTCTCTTTTCGTGGTAAGCTGGATCTTCTTTTCTTTGTGAAGGTTACCTCAAATGATATGAGGCCCTCCTTCTAGCGCCAAATTGTTGCCAACAATTTTCGTAGCAACGAATGTTTTCCAAAGGAGTGGGAAAATCCCTCGAAATGAACCTTTTTGGATATGTATATGTGTAAATATATGTGTATTATCGATGTATGCCGGACTCGAAGAGTCGGGTTTGATTATTCCTTTTCGGTCAAATCTTTTCCGAGCCTCCCGAAAAAGATGCCTTTCTTACTTTACAAATTCCTATTTATAGGAGTCTACTATCTGTCACTGTTCATGTGTGTGGACTACACTACGTGTAGTACAAAATCCTTTCCAAATCTAGTAATTATTATGTTCAATTAATGATCAATGATGGCGCCGCATCTCGAAGGCAATCTGGGAGATGGAGAAGTGACGCGTGTCCCTAGGTCAGCCGGTAGTTGCTAGTCTTGTCAAATATCAATGCATCCTTCCCCATTCTCGCCGAACCGACCAGTCAGTCCGGCACTGTTCTAGCTCGGCAACTTTATGCTCGGGGATCATCCCCCTTTCCCCCGAAGGCGGCTTTGGGGACACTGCGACCCGTCCCTTGGGATTCTCGAGTTCGGGGGTCAACACCCGTGAATTCACACAACTCGCACATATTCAGCAATTAACGAACACGTAATAAAAAATAAACTGAAACAATCATCCCCTATCACTAGCTTACAAAATTAGCTACTCATCGAAGATTCCAACACAAAAATTCACAATTAACCAAGCCACAAGTCCTTTCCCCTCTTTTCAATTATAAAACCGAAGCGAATCATTGAAGAAATTCACAAGAAATCGCCAAGCCCTCATATTTTTCCTCTCGGCCCTATCATCGTGTGCACACGGCCTCCCAGCGCCACCTTAAGCCACACACGCCTTCTTCCTCGCAAGGCCAACAGTAGATCGATGCGCCCCAGCCCTTTGTCAACCAAAGGAGTCCCCAACCATGCCAAGGAGATTGGTGCCAGCCCTCGATCGCCGGCGAGCAGCCCTTACACGCGCAAGACCCACCGTGGCCACCCTCATTAGCCGAGACCGCGCCCTTGCCTCTTTGCCATCAGTCCTTGTTCCCCCTTTGATTTGATGTGTTTTGTTGAGTATTTGAATAGATCCTTGTGGTTAAGTATAGATTTATATGCTTTTGTTTGAGATCTATTAGGATTTCATCAGTTTTTGTAGAATCTTGATTCAAATTCATGAAATCTTGTGTAATTGGGACCTTCTTAATGTGTTATTGTGAATCGGAGCTCCTTGGAATTTTTAGAATTTGATTTGATGGCCTTTTTTATTTTCTAAGTCAATTTAACCCTTGTTCATTCTAAAAATTTTATAAAGATATCCCCTTGTTCTTTTTGGATCAATTTCAAACTGGACAACCCTAACTTAATGTTTACTTAATGTTTAATATGCTGTAAAAATTTCAAGTCAAAATTCCAACCCTAACCCCTTGAACAAAGGCAATCTTTGAAACCAAGCAGTCTGCCAAGTGTAGCCGCTGGCACTGGCTGCGCACGCGTACTCGTGCGTGCACCTGCATCGCCCAGGTGATGCCCGTGTGCCCTCAGCCGCTCATCAGACAGCCCGCACCCGCACCCGCACCCAGCGCATAGCCCCGTGCCGTGTGACGCCCAAAACTCCCTATACTGTGTGCAACGACCCTCAGCATGCAAGCAGCTATACACTCGCGTCTAGCGACCCTAGCCGCACGCCAGCAGAGTCTGTCCGCACCTGCACGTGCCTAGAAACCCCGACCTGCGCCTGAACACACCCGATTGCACCCGCTCGAGCCAGCCCGCACCCGTGCTGGTTCCCGTTTTTATTCTCTCGAGCCGTTTGACCAATTTTTGAGCCTTTGACCTTGTTTTTTGTGTAGATTCCATTTTCGACCTTTTTGATTGATTTTTCCAAATTTTTCCTTAAAATCCGAGGGTTCCAAATTTCACAAAATCTCACGAGCTGCTTAGTCGATCATTTTTAGACTAAGTTTAAATTCTCGTTTAAATTCTCAATTGGACAAGTATTTTTGAAATATTATCTTGATTATATGTAGGTGTTTGAGTAGTCGAGCCTCTGCCTACCTTCGACTGAACTTGAGTATTCGTCTGCTTCGACTAATTAGATGAGTGTTGATAAACCTTACCGTGTATGTTATTTGGTATAACTGCTTGGCTTGATAATCAATGTATGAATGTAAACCATTAGTCTACGAGAGTTGTCTCCGTTGATGGGTTTTCTCGACGTTCTCCTAACTTTAGTCTATAGAGAGTATTCTCTTGTTGATGGGTTTTTTCGACGGTTTAGCTTCTGTTGATGAGTTTCTCCAACGGTTTAGATGTGATCACATGAGAGTAAGGCTGATTAGGAGGCAGACTAGACGATTTGTGTTCATGTTGCGATTATGAGCGAGGCGAGTTTGTTGTTTGTTATGTTATTGCTTCCGCCTGTTTATTATTATTGATGTATATGCCAGACATGTTAAATTATTGAGATTAGAGACATGATTATGTATTTGGATATTGCACATGCTATTATGAAATTGGATATTCTTACGTTTGAAATTTATTCGAGGCATGTTTATCTATTTAGCTTGAGATGTGAATGTAGGATGGTTGATTCCCCGTTGTTTACGTATGGACTTAAACTGGTTAAATGAGATAAGTTGAGTAATGCTTATTTTTAAAATGATTTGCGAAAATTTAACTCTGATTTTGAAAATAAAAAAAATATTCGATATTTTTATCTTTTAAAATAACGGAGTGTTACACATCACGAATCCGCCAGATTCAGAAAATTTCAAGCCGCAAGTTTTCTACGTTAACCTTTAGATCCGTTGCGCATAGGCGAACATTTGCTATTAAATTCATGACTTGTACATAACGAGATTCTCACAGATTCCAACACTCACATGTGCATAATTGTAGTGCCCCTTTTCAGTTTATATAATTTCTCGTACTTTATTTTTTATATGCTTGAATATTATGCCATTTTACGTGCATTGCTTGTATTTTATTTTCTTATGTGCTTGAATTTATTTAGTTTATTTTTATTATAATTTTAACTATCAGTTAGTTCATTCGGAAATTCTTCGATCAATCGCGTAGAAATATTTTGGAGCTTTCTTCTCAATTCTCTCGAACCTTGGAGTTAGACATCTATATATATATAATTACTAGCTAATCTCATTTAATAAAACATTTAATAAAAATATTTTCACTTTCCCTCCAAAAGGAGTTACATATTTTTAATTAATTACTCACTAATCCCACATTTAAGAAGGTTTCTTTTAGTTAAGCCTAATTAGTTAATGGCTAAATTAAAAATATTTCTTTTAGTTAATCCCACATTTATGTTTCTTATTTTCATTTATATATATAAACATGGCAATTATTATTGTTGTGCCCAAACTATATATTACTATTTTCTATTCCATTATGAATTGAATAAGCAATTAAAGTTAAAAAAAT